CTCCCTCTCACGGCGTTGGCAGGTTGTCGATAAGCCTACTAATGATTGTTGATGACCCTCCCTCCGCTAGCAGCTCTGCTCACGAGCAGCACCACTCGCAAGCAGCGCTGCATGCAAGCCATCGCGTCGCTCGCAAGTAGCATCGCACCCAACATGAGCCGCTCGCAAGCAGCATCGCTCGCAGCGTGAGCCGCTCGCAAGCAGCATCGCTCACAGCGTGAGCTGCTCGCAAGCAGCATCGCGCACAGTGTGAGCCTCTCGCAAGCAGCATCTCGCCCTGCGGAGCCACTCCATCCGCTAGCAGCTCTGCACACGAGCAGCACCACTCGCAAGCAGCGCTGCATGCAAGCCATCGCACCCCCAGTCGCTAGTGGAGCTAGGTGCGGCCCGAGGCTATTTTAGAAGTGAGCGGCTATGGCTTCGTAGGTAGCGCTGCATGCAAGCCATCGCGCCGCTCGCAAGCAGCATTGCACCCAGCATGAGCCGCTCACAAGCAGCATCGCTCGCAGCGTGAGCCGCTCGCCCGCCATTCGTCCATGAAACACGATTTTGGCCGCCTCTGTGCAGGCCGCATTGTCCCTAATCTTGACCCAGTTAGCCCGCGATGTTCTGATATACTGCGTGTTTGAATTGATATTGCGTGATGAAGAGGTCCCCAAGAGTACGTACGGGAGTTACTTCAGCCACTCAGTCAGATCAATTCTCTCATAACCTGCAGTAACAACTTGGAGTTCTATGAAACTCCGTACGGCGGGCTCAGTATTTGTGCCCATGATCATGCTTCGGTCTTCCTGCGGTGTTCGCAGTACCTCGAAGTATGAGCACATGGAGCTAATCCAAGAGGTGATGTCCCCTTTCCCGTTGTACTTGGACGACAGAGTGGCCGCCCTCTTGTCCACTATGGGACCGCTGTATTGTACGCCAGTAAGAATTGCGTCGTTTTGGGCTGATGTTCCTGCATTTGGAACTTGGACCAGTGCAGAACTGTCGGCGCTGCCGCTTGAGGAGATGGCACCGGTTCCTGCGCTCGTCACAGTTCCACTTGCTCTCGGCATGAGGACTATGTTAGGGTGAGAGATTGGGACTGCACCCGGTCGAGGATTAGGAGGAGGAGGGACAGACAATTGGGACTGTTTGAGGCTGACTATCTCAGCCTGCAGCTCTTGGTTCCGCTGCTCCAGAGTTGTCAAACCGGACTCTATATCTTCCAAGGTCTGCAATCAAACCAAGGTTGCTATGGCAGCAACTAGCTTCTCTTGGAACCGGTCATCACTAGATTCCGGAACCTCGAGGAGGGCCACTTGTGTAGCAATACTTGTGGCTTTAGCTGCTGCCTCTGCCTCCCTCTCTCTGTGCATTGCGTCGTCATAAAGTTTCTGAAAGAAAGGTTTCTCATTCTCGGTCGTTGCGTCCAGCATGGCCTTCCATTGCTCGGATGTGGCCATGCTGGAGGATAGGGCGTCAGTAGATCTCTCAAGAGGGGTCCGCACTTTGCTCACTTTTGGACGAACACTCCTCTTACCCCTCCTCACACTCTCAAAAAGAACACCTTCTCTCTCTTTCTGCTTTCTGCGCATACGTCTAAATATCAAACATAGATAGTTCAGATAAAAGAAAAACAGTAAATCACAAAGAGTAGAAGGTAGAACTCCTAGCCGGAGCGGCAATTCATTTGGGCTTAGAGAATGGCATTCACGCAGCAAAATAAATATAAATAATTAAATTAAAAAAAACGAAAGAGACGACTGACTTATCGAACAGGCCCGATCAAATTAGCAGGAGATCCCCTCTTGTCTAATCTGACAAGGAGCATGTACCACAATAAGTCAGCCGAAGAAAACTAACTGCAGCAATGGAGATTTTGAGGGGTGCAGACGGTCGCCGAGCCAGACGCGGGGCAATATGTGAGAACATGCAGTAAGATCAGTCAAGATCCCCTTGAAAGGAATGCCCTTACTAGCCGTATGTCCCCCAAATTCAGCACAACAAAGAGATGCATTGACGGCAACAGATTTGGGCCGTAAAGGTCCTGTCCCGTTGGGCCTGGTCCCACTGAGTCCCGAAGGTCCAAAGTAGGTCGTGGACCAACGAGATAGGTGTACCAAGTCAGTCCCAAACTGCCCTTACCGTACTAAAAAGGAAAAGACAACTTTCAACAAGAACTTACCCCTACAGCCGTTCAGAAGTGAAAATACAATGCATCGTAGAAAGATATGTCATTGGGAACAAGATACATCATCCATCCATCCATCAGGTGAGAAAGAAATCCACATGCTCACACACACAACCAAGACCGCAGAGAAGAGGAAGAGAGCCCAGCACACCCCAATGGGCCACGGAGCACCAAGCAACCTCCCACGGGCATAACCAGGTCACACGGCACTTACCTGTGAGGCCCGGCCTCCAAAGATGGATAACGACTCACCCCCCTCTCACATAGGTCCTCCTGACCCCTAGCTACCACTACACGAAGTGTCCTAGCATGACTAAGAGGGCCTCCCTACACCCCTGTTACAACGCCGGATCGATGTCTGAAGACAGCTCTTCGATGCAGATATGGCAGCCTCCGATCAAGTCTCCCTCTTGAGGGGAAGCCCAAAAGTCACTCAATGTCTTCTTGAAGTGCAGATTCCAGGTGCGAGTACCTCTCACTCTCTACTCCCTCTCGCTTACTCCAATCAGCCTCCTTTGTGTCTCGCCACCCCATCCAATCACACAAGCAACCTGGTCAGATCTGATGTCGACCCTACATGACCTAACCAGGTGGGGGCAGTATCCACAGACCTCACTGCCCCTCTTAACCCTAACTTCCCAACCCTAATCCGAGATAAGTTTAGCCCTAACCTAATTCGGAATTAGGGTTAGGGTGACTAACACCTCTCGCCAGCAAGTAAGTCCGCTCCGATACCAATTGTTACGATCCTGGTCATTCCCAAAGTGCAAATTCACAATGAAAGACAATGCCACCCAATTGCGAAAGAAATGAAAGCACTTGCAAAGAGATAGAGACCAGAGAAGAGAGAAAGAAGGAGAAGAAGAAGAAGTAGATGTACGCCAGCAAGACCAATGACAAAACCCCCTTCTCTCTCCACCTTCCTCCTCCTCCTTAACTTCTCCAACCTTATTCTTCTTCCCAATAATAATAGCAACAATGAGTGGGTGAACCAGAATCAATATCCGAAGTTCCCTCTTACTGCTGACACAACAACAACAACACCAGGTCTAGTCCCTTGCCGATGTCCAATCAATGTCTGCCTCAACAATGTCGAATCAGATCCAGGGCACAATGCCCACTGTAACCTCTGCCTGTATCCTCTGCCAGTAACCTCTTATATCTGAATAAGAAGAAGATGAAGAAGAAGAAGAAGAAGAAGAAGAAGAAGAAGAAGAAGGAGGAGGAGGAAGAAGGAGGAAGGAGGAGGAAGGAGGAAGGAGGAGAGATGGAGGGCGAGAAGGGAGAAGAAGATGTCGCCCTTCTCGCTGCCTCACCTGCAGGTAACGGCCGCCGTACTAACTGCCGTGTTTGTCCTGTGCAGGTACCGCGTGGAGACCCCAGCTATGGTGCCAGGTAAGCTCGCCACTACAGGTATGGCCTCCGCCTCCCACCACCTCCTGTGCCGCTCCGTCCAGCATTGCAGCGCAGTGCAAAATAGCGCAGCCTCCAACCAGCAGCGTGTCGCTCAAAAGTGAGCTATCCGAACTGTCCGTTACCCAGCCTCTGCCCAGCTATATGTAGCGCTGGGCGAGGCTGGGCCTACCTGTTGCTGGCCTCAAAACTGCCCAGCCGGTCTGGGTCCCTACCGGGCGTCCAGACTGTGCTGCTGTTGCAGCAGGGTGCCAAAAAAACGCACCTGGCCTTTTTGTAGGCTCTGCCTCTGGTACCCAGTCCCAAGGTCGTGCCTTGGGGACTGCAAGTCCGAAACGACACCTGCACAGACAACGACGGGTCAGCAGGTAAGTAAATAAATAAATAAATAAATGCTGCCTATATTTGCCGTATGTGGCCTGGGGGGCGCCGTGGGCCTCCACGGCGCATGTCTGATGGGCATGCGGCCTGGGGGCCCCTCAGCAACCGTTGGGCCCCTCAAATGGGGTCCGTGTGCAGGCGCAGCATGTAACAGGACCACAGGGATTAAGAGGAAGGTGGGGGACAGAGAGGAGGAGAAAGTGAGGGACGAGAAGGGACCAAGTGATCGGGTCAGAGAAGGGTCATTTCACAAAGCAGAAACTCACACAAAGACACAGATCTGCAATGAGTAAAGAAATGACCTCATCGGCCGAAAAGGAGAACGGAGATGGAGACTAATAGTACAAGTGGAGGCATGGATCATGGTGGAAGTATAACAAGGAGGGGCACATTGCTGGGGAGAGTGTACCTCTGGCACACAGCATTCAGCGGTGATTGGTATCTGTGCAAGTGCGTCTCCAATTCCGGGCAGGCCCATGATGAATGTGCCCTTATAGGGCTGCTTCGTCATCGGAAGGAAAGCAACTCTGACCTTCTGCCGCCCCTGCACCAAAACAACAGAAATCGAATCTCAGTCTGAAGCAGTCTCAAGAAATTTAATGAATTACAAGCAGTTGCAGCCAGCGCAGCTTGCGCCCGCGAACACCGTCAGGAAGCAACCCCAATAAAGAATCTCACGTCCTTTTTTCTGTCTCTGACCGTGATGTTTGACATTGTTCGTTGCTATCTTACCATTCTTTCACTGTTCTTTTTTTTTTCTTTTCTTTTTTTCCGTCTTTAACGTTTTCAGATCATGATTGTCATTCTCTGAAATCATCAACATCAGCATCCGAACTGAAAAAAAAACAACAACATCACAGCCGCTTCATAGCGAGAAAGCCGCGGAGAAAGCCGTTAGAGAAACTCAATTTTATCGACCAAATGAAGCACAACCCACCGGCCCCAAGCACCACCGACCGCCCGCAAGCACCCACCGACCGGCCCCAAGCACCACCGACCCGCCGCAAGCAGCCACCGACCGGCCCCAAGCAGCACCTACCGGCCCCAAGCACCACCTACCGGCCCCAAGCACCACCCACCAGACCCAAGCACAACCCACCGGCCCCAAGCACCATCGACCGCCCCCAAGCACCCACCGACCGGCCCCAAGCACCACCGACCTGCCCCAAGCAACACCGACAGGCCCCCAGCACCACCGACCCGCACCGACCACCGACCAACCCGCCCCAAGCACCACCGACCGGCCCCCAGCAGGGCCAGCAACACCAACCCGCCCCGACCACCCACCGACCCGCCCCAAGCACCACC